TAGCCCAGTGCAAATAAAGACACTCAATTTAAAACTAGGCTTATTTGTGTTAAAGCTTTTGTCAGTTTGATTTTTCCCCAAACGATTCCTTTAAGGAGCCCATATGCTACTTTTTGGTATTCTATTTTTTCCCTTGAGCTTCACTTATAACGTTTATGTGGTTTTTATATAACAAAAAACAGTCAGAATTCATTTTTGCATGACCATTTTCTCTTTCCAACCTCATCCATTAGAATTAAGTAGGCTGTTTCTGTTACTGTGTCTTTAAGACTGATATTTGTGGCTGTCAGAACAAAATCTTGTATCTCCATTTACTGTGCTAAACGTTTTGAGATTAACAAATCAACAGAAATTGCCCAAAATTACTTGGAACAAAATTATTTTGTTCTATTTACTTCCATATGGGGTTTGGTCTCAAGAGTGACAATATGTAAATTACTTCTGTTTTGATTGGCTGCCCTGTATAGTGGCTCATTCATAAATAAGTCCAGGCTGAAACACTCTTTATGCTTCAGTGTGAGTGGGTGGGGAGTCTGCTGTAGGCTGAACAGGTGGATATATGTAAATGTATTAGTTTTCATAACATCACAAAAGCAATGAATTCGAAACAGCCAGTTCAGTTTCCCTCTGAGGGCTGTATGGACTGTGGAGTGAATGGCAAAAGTTATCAATGTTTATGTACCACATTAAACTCTTTCACTTCAAAAAACCAAGGGAAATTCAGGTCTTCATGATGTGGGCCGTTAAACGGCCATTTCCACTTGTAGGGTATGTGAGCATAAATGGTCAGTTTGCAAGTAAATAAAGCCACAAACAATTCTAACAACTTGGGTTTCTCCTGTTTTTGTTTTTTGTTTTTTTATTGGGAGCTAGGACACACATGTAGAACTACTTACTGGCCAGGCCACGTTTCTGGTAGTTCTGATATGATCTACCGTTATTTACAAAGTACTTTCTTTCTTTCCATTCTTTTCTTCAAAGCAAAGAGCTACATCGATCATACATGTTAGAAACGATTAAAAAAAATAGAAATAAAAATGTACATCATACACTTGATATAGATGCTTTTTACAGAGGTAAAAATTCTTATTGTAAAAAACAAAACTAATCAATACAATAGGGTTTATTTAATCTGTTTTTTTTTGTTTGTTTGTTTTTAGTATACAAGGAGATAGATTAACAATACGCTTCAGGCACTTTTTTAAACAGGTAAAATGTGTGTAGTAGCGAGACGCTGCACCAAGACAGACGTACAGACAGAATGTTTTTGGTTAACTTTTCCACTTCTTTTTTTTCTTTTTTTAACCACAGGTAACCTGGGCTCTCGGTGAAGAGGGTGATGCCAGTATTGCAGAAGCCGACGGAGAGCCAGGAAGGACGTGCGGTGGATGAAGGGCGCAGTGACAGCTGACACCTCTGCAAAGCACTGCGGGCAGCCTTCCTCCATAACCTCAGACACGCACCGACAGAGATGGCTGGTCTTTTCCGCTCAAACACAGCTGTGCATGTACACACTGCCCATCAAAACGTGGGGACACCCTTCTTTAGAAATTATTAGAAGTAGCCCTTAATTTTCACTATTATTCTTTCAGTAAGTAAAGCAAACTGACTGCAAACATTTCGCGCTTCACCTATACTTTGAGCTCATTTTGAGCTTTTAGCTTCATGTTCATTAACATATTTCCCTTGATATGTACAGCAGGTTTTGTCTAAATAAATATTTGCCGGTTATCTTTTCCAAACTATCATTAAAAGCACATATTCAAACTCTTTTGGTCATGAAGTGGTTAACAGAGCTGAAAGGTTTGAGTGCTGACATCTAGAGCTGAAAAATACATCATTCTTATACTGAAATCGCAGTTTTGAGCTGCAGTTTTTAATTTTTGCCTACATTATCAATTTGTCTTAAGTTCTAAGTGGGCAAATTTAACCTAATAACACAGAGCTGGTATCCTGCTAGTCAAGGAGGAAAAACGCAGTAGATATTCTGCTCTAATCGTTCAGCCACACTGATGTCACCCCCAAGAGGATATAATATGGCATTGTTCCACAAATACTGTCACAAAAATTGACGTTACTGTTTTCCATTAAATAAACCTGAACGATTGATGAGAAATATCTAATTGTGATTTTTCTAAACACCCTTTTGACTGTGACTGAAATTGCGATTATTTTTCTGTAAAAGACCATGAAGATCACTTTTTTCTGGCATGAACGCTGCGCTGAATGTATTATGCCAAACTGCACTGTAGTTGTGGGTGTACTGTAAAGTACACAGCAAGAGGTTGCCTGTGATTGGTCTATCTCATCTATAAGCAGTTGACAGAGCCCACCTGCAGGCCAAAAGTTTTATTATACACTTCTATAACCTAATAATACCTCCGCCAGTCTGCATTGAAGTCCCTGGAGTTACTGAATAATAAGCCTTAGTATGTAATAAGCCTTAGTATGTGATAAGCCTGGGGTGTTAAAGTTCCTCATTTAAAGGTGCAGTATGTAAGATTTAGTGGCATTTAGTGGTGAGGCTGCAGATTGCAACCAACTGAATATCCCTCCCTCACCCCTCCATTTCAAACTGTGTAGTAGAACCTACAGCGGATGTCAGGTTTTCTGCCATCGCCTGTCCCGATTTCATTTTGCTTCTTCATGTTCTCACTTCTTTGACGACGGGGATTTACCCTCTTTTGCTTTTTCTTGTGCTAAACAATAAACATGATCCTCCACTTGTCAAAATTTGGGTTCTAAAACTTCTCACAACACAAAATTGTTAGCCAGCACCGGCAGCCGCTTCAGTCTAAAAACGCAAAAAGCACTCTTTAGAGCCAGCGTTTAGTTTGTCCGTTCTGGGCTACTATAGAAACATGGTGGCGCAACATGTTGGAAGAGGACGCGCTCCTACGCAGATATGAAGGGCTCATTCTAAGCTAATAAAAACAATAATTCATAGTTACAGGTGATTATACACTAATGAAAACATGGTTTTGTATACTGTATTCCATTTCTGCTAATAGATCACCCTAAATCTTACACACTGCACCTTTAACCTAAGACAACATAGTGAATATTACAGGCTACATTACAACTGCAGCATCTGGAATTTGCACTCTTTTAACCTGTGATTCCTTTCAGCCTGACCTGGTTAGCCTTTAATATGTGAAGCTGCAAACCAACAAAGAAAACATGTTCTCACTGTCATTAAAACATTCGGAAAGGCTAGACGTCCCCAACTTCTGATGGACTGTGTTCTGATTCGTGGTCATCTCATACTGGCAGCCTGTCTGTCGGCACGTTTCTGAGGTGCTCCGATGAGCAGACTGAATGTTACATATTAAGCACAGATGTTACACCCATGTACTGTACATTCATTGACAGGGAATCGTGCACATACAACTCTACTAGCTAAACCAAGTAGTATTTTCTCACTGGGATGATTTACATAAGCTGACATAAACGAAAGCCCAGTGGCGGGGAAGCTGACCGGATGGCTGCAGTGTCTAAAGTGTGGGCAGGTGGGTCCGAGTGTCCGAGACAGACTATACACACGTACCAGAGCTGCCTCACAGATTGTACGATGCTGTATTTTTTTTTCTCCACTATCTCCTTCTACATTTGAAACACATTCTCTTGATTAAAAAAGGCTCATCTAACGGGAGTCTCCATTTTTAATAAATTAGAAAAATATTCATCACTTTCTCTTGATTATGAAAGAACGCCCAGGGACGCGTGTTTGTCTTCCGAATGCTGTACGCGTTCGCGAGACGAACCCTCAACCAGTGACGTAGCTCTCGCTTCGTTTTCACCAAAATTAAGGCTTTGAGTAATATTATAGTGATGAAGAAACTGGAGATCGGTTTTGGCAAACGGCCCTCTATTCAGCACCTATGTGCAAGCTTATTTTTTACGTTTCCAGCGTGTCCTGTTCTCTCTCTCTCTTTTTTTGGCTTCCTATGGAACAGGACCAGCTTTGGAAACGCTTCTAGGAGAAAACGTCTTGCGCTCCTTTGTGAAAGTGTTCTAAGTCACATGTTAGAGAAGGGAAAGCAGACACTAGCTTTGCGTTTTCCCTCTAAGCGTATTATGAAGGAACATACATGTTTCCAGCTGGAGATCCTCCTCCTCTCTCATATGACCACAGCAAGAGCCAAACTACGCGTCCTCGCTTCCTTTCTCCCTTTGGCTGGTGATTCGATTGACTGAGAAAATAAATATGATGAAAGGAAAATCTTTGGATATCAATCGTGGTGATTCAAAAGAGCTCCTCCTCCTTCGTTCTAATCAACAGAAAGGAAAATGTCCATTGTCTGCGGAACAAATGTGGCTGTGGATATAATAATCGATTTTAAACATATACATATGAGTATACAGTATTTACATATACTCACAATGCAGCTTATGTAAATTTGGCTTAAATACAATAACAATACTATGCTGTGATACAATGTTCTCATTCCTTTACAACGCACATGCAAGCTTCAGCTCACACACACACACACACACACACACACACACACACACTCTCTCTCACACACACACACACAAACGCGTCCCACTCAAGCGCACCGCCAACCTCACTACAGGTTTAGTGTCTCAGGCTAATCTCCATGTTATTGTTCTGTATATTTAGAGGGTTTACACTGGTTCATCTAGAGACTCCTCCCTTCGCTGGCCATGGCAAACGAACGGATTCTCGCTAATTCAAGCACGCGCGACATGAAAAAATGAACAATTCAAGTTCTCGAAACTAAAAATCAGTGTAAAAATATAAAGTACCTGCATAAGTAATGCATGACAAGTAGGCTCCAACGGGCCACCTGAAAAAAGAGCCATTTCTTTCACAAGGAACTGAAGAGAAACTTCCAGAAGAAAAGAAAAGGAACGTACACAGGAACACGCATTCACACGCTCGCACACACATATGTATGCATATATATATATATATATATATATATATATATATATATATATATATATATATAAAAAGAAAAACAAATTTCAAGCCAGTTTAATGCACCATTTTTTCTTCTTTTTGTCCATCTGGAATAGGGCTGAGATTGACAAGAAAGAAACCAAAAAAGCCCCAAGAAGCCCCCACACGAGTCCTTCCTCCTCGCTGGCGTGTATGTACTAAGGATGGGCATCATTACTTATCTTCATATATTTTTACAGAACTGAGTATTCAAACAAGGCATGTGTTGTGTGGTATAATAAACTAAATTGTTGATTTTTAAATCTGCAGTATTTTCTCATCAGTCGATTCGATTACCTTTTGCAGGAACGTGGTAGGTAAGGATGCTGAGGATGATTCAGCACCCACTGCTTTCAGTGGGATTTTGACCTAAAACGTATTTTCTTAAATCTATTAATGGCAGAGAGGTGCCTGAAAGGTGTTATAAGGCAAAACAGTCCCCAAAGAAAACTTTTTTTTCTGATTAATCTCTGTTTTACCATTCTCAGCACTACATATAAAAAGATGTGTGTAGATTCACTGGTCATTCTGGACGGTAAATAAAATGGCTTTAGACTTTACGACCCCTGGTTCTTCTGCCTACAATTGTAAAGAAGTTCTTTTACAATGAAACATTTCAGATGAAACCACTGTAAATGAGACTGTCAACATCTCATCAACAAATTATGCTTATATTTTAAAAAAATAGATCAGATCATAATCTGATAAATAATAAAATAACCTTAAAAGAAAGTATGTTGAGCAAAACATACACTTATCTGTTCTTGTTGTAGAGTGCAGTTTTTAATCATATTATATATTTTATTAACATATTTTCATTAACATATGACACCTGTCATCAGCAACTCTGTTTAAATTTCAGTTTTTTTTTTTAACTGAACTGAACAAGGACTGGGAGTGGTTTGGTTTTCCAGACAACACTGACTGGGCCATTAACTGTTCAGCTACTAAATGGAAAACAAAATATTTGGTACAGTATCTAGTGTGATGTGACCGTCACATACATGTTGCTTAAAATTTCAGCACCCTCACCTCCCACGTCTCTGACTATTCATTTAGAAAGGTGGATATCTGAATAGCAAACGTGGCTGAACTGTCCATCCATAGTACATACATTCGCCTGCATGTGTTCCGACGTAGTTTTGGGAGTTGGTGGGGTAAGGTGGGCTTCGCAAGGGGTTACCCGACGGCCTTGTGCTTTCCACCGCAGCAGCCGCAGGCCACCCCGCAGCGGTGGCAGGCGTGCAGCGGTGGGTAGCAGCAGAGGCACGGCGCCAGCAGAGAAAGGCCCAGCAGAGCCAGCCAGCGCAGGCAAAAGCGCTCATCGCCCGTGTCGCACGAGCATGGGTCCGAGTAGTCGCCCTCGGGGTCTGACATGCAGTGGTAGAGCAGGCTGTCGGCGCACCACATGAAACTGACGCGGTGCACGCAGGTCCGGATGGGATCGGGCGCATCATGGCACTGGCCGCGCCGATTCTCCTCATGGTTGAACATGTCCCGGCAGTAGACGCAGCGCGAGCGCTCACCGTCCTCTTTCCGCCGCTTGCCCTTAGGTTTGAAGGCCGCCGGCTGCGTGGCCACCACCACGCCCTCCGAGCCCCCCCGCGGGCTCTTGTGGCCCAGGTCTGAGTGGCTGGGGGCGTACGGGTAGTTGTAGTCGTGTTTGGACGGTGGCTCGCTCTTGGCGAAGTGCACGTATGAGTCCATATCCTCGGCCTGAATGAAGCGGTCGCGAGCCGCCGCGTGTCGGTAGTCCTCGTAGCCCGTCAGCCAGGTGCGCTCACGCGGGTTGATGCGCACAATCTCCTCCTCCTCGTCCAGGAAGCTGACATGGCGTGGGAACTTGGGAACAGCCTAAAAATAAATGACAACATAGAACAAGGTTAAGAGCTTGAGAGCTGTTCAAATTATAAAAGCATGTAGCTTATCCCAATTTCAGAAGTAGAACTTTTTCCTAAATTCCCTCAAAGCAGTTACTGAATTATTCATAGAAGCTACTTTAAAATTAAGAACTGAACACTAAGCCTGTAGGGCTTTAATAGCTTCTAATTTTCTGATTTTGTATGAGGGTTTTTTGATTTGCAATAAATATTTAGCCACAACCCAACAGAAGTAATTTTTTACAGAAATAAACCGGATTGTCATTAAGTAGGTTGTCTATTGTTCTGTCATGCATATTCTGTGTTACAGAAAGGGAGGGAATTAAAACTAGAGTTGTGTTTCGATATCAGTTCTGGGGCTAAATTGATCTGATGTTGAGGTGCTAAAAGTTATCACTACTGATAATATTAGTCAATATAAATTATTGACCAAAACAGACAGTAGTTTTAGTTAAGCAATGCTTTACTGATTGACATTTTGAGTTGTAAACTGTGAATTGTTCGGTAAAAATGTCAGTAAACAAGTGTCAGATTTTGTAAATTCTTAAACTACGTCAAGATGTTAAAATGAAAAGAAGTATCGTTACTTAGTCAGGAGACAAAAAACATGATAAAATATGGTGTGTGTGCACTGCAACAAAGCCTTAAATAATAATTTAGAAGGTAGAGGGGTGTTTTTCTAACCATGTCATACATCTTTACATATTGATGCCACAGACAGGCTCAAAAAGAAGGTCCAGCTCGATGTTTAGGTCTCAAATGCAAAATCTACATCATACTGATGAACATTATACATTATACACACACATAATACACTAAATATATATATACTAATACTGGTGATATAACTATAGTTGTGTTCAGGGTGGAGTTGAGATGTTTTACTGGTTAGTTCTTATTTTTCAACACATAAAGGTCATTGTGCTCCCAGCCATGTGTCACCCACCTGGTCCAGGAAGTAGCGGTCTGAGGTCCTGTACTGCTCATGAAAGTGCCCCAGTATGCAGTGATGGCGGTGCGGCTCATAGAAGGTGGTGGTGGCCAAAGGCTGTATGGCCTGCTCCTTCTTCTGGGAGGAGTTGGAGGAGCTGTCGGTGGCGGTCTGTGGCAAAAAGACAAAGAGACCCAATCAAATCCATAACCCTATAATATAAGCACACACAAATAAAGGCAAAAGGTCTGCTGTGGTTACAGCATAGATTTCCTCCAACTCAGGCCTGATGTGTAGGAGACGGAAAGGAAGGTGAAGGCGGATGTGTCCGGTGCTCAAGACAAGATAAAGACACCCAGCAGCCAGGTGCTGTGTTGAGTGAGTGCAGTTTTCCATGATCTCATGGGCTGTTGGCACTGCTCAACAGCTACACACGTTACACACACACACACCAGAGTAGTCAATCTGACATGACGTGGCTCAACTTCAGTATGAAATTAAGCCCCCAGGCCGCAGGATTTGTAAAAACCCCTCTGAAGTCTCCCTGTTATTAGAGAGGCTCTAAATGAATCCAGCCTGCTGGATTTTTGGCCATCGCACACAAAACCCAAAGCGCTGGTCCATGACATCATCATTAGGCAGAGAGCTATGGAGAACCTCTCGGGTTGAAGGCATGCGCTCGCTATAGGCCAATCGCTTTCATAAAAAAACAAAACAAAACTCAAGGGCCTCTGAAATGAATTAGCGTTCAAACACTCCATTAATGGGACCACAAAAAAGTGGTTACAGTAAATCACAAGCTAGGAAAATGTTACTAATTATGCACACGCTGGCCTGTATTAGTTCATCAAGTTCATGCAAAATTGAAGAGCTTGCTATGACATGACACATGCACCAATCCGGTATATGTTTGATCAGTAATGACACTGATACTAATGCTCTTAATCCTATCTCAACGGTGTTTTTGGCTTTGTCCCCGTCAGTCAGCATGTGGATCTTCCAGTGTGCTACCATATTTTCTATCACTAGACAAAGGAAGCTCCACACTGCCTTTGCTGCTGGATGCACTGGGATGGTTTCTGAGCACATATTCAGAAAGGAGATCCGATCAGTAAGAGCTTATTACTGGATTCTTTCATCGCTGTAACAACAGAGATAGAGACAATAGAGAATAGAGAGAAGTGTGACATATAATTCTGTTCGAATGTTTTACTAACAAAGTAAAAATGTACTCTGTAAACTGGCTTTATTAGATCATGTATGCATCAAAATAAACAGAACTCTAGCTGAGGCCTCGCTGTATTTAAGTTGAGGCGCAGATTAAAAAGGAGAAGAGTAGACTGCTTATTGTAAAGGGATTAAAGGGTTAGATGGACTGGATATTGGTCAGATGTCAGCAATCCACATTCGAATGGTCGGTGTTCAGGCCTAACTGGCTCTGTGTGAAAAAGTAATGGCCCCCATAGCTACTAAATCAACCAGTTAACCAAATTGACCAATTGACTACTGGGTTCAGTTTCACTGGCCAAACCCAGGCATGGTTACTACCAGACCACTACTTGAATGTAAACACCACTTAAATAGAACCTGTCTGGCAGTGTGAAGCAGGCTAGAAAGTCTCAAAAAGCGGCACATGATGCCATGTTCTAAAGATATTCACACACAGACGGGAAACAAAATCAGTAAAAGTCTAACAGTCTGGAAAGGGTTACAAAGCCAGTGCTAAGGCTCTGGGACTCCAGTGAACCAGAGTGAGAGCCATTATACACAAACGCAGAAAACTTGGAACAGTGGTGAATCTTCCCAGGAGTGGGAGGTTTCATCAAAGCGCATCTGCGGCTCATCCAGGAGGTCACAAAAGACTCCAGAAGAACATCCAAATGCAGGCCTCACTTGCCTCAGTCAATGTACATGATTCCACAATAAGAAAGATACAGGGTGAAAATGGCATCCATGGGAGAGTTGCAATGCATTTTGTGTTTACTTGTCTTTATCTTATATTAAAATTAGTTGGATGATCGGAAACATTTACATGTGTCAAATTAGCAAAAACAGAAGAAATCGGGTGGGGGCAAACACTTTTTCACAGCACTGTAAGTGAATGTAGTGTGCCTTCCCGTTAAAAAGCTGTGTTATTAGGTTAAATTTCCTCACTGAAAACTTGTTAAGACAGCGATGAATAAGATACAATCAAAACTGCAGCTTTTTGAAAATTGAACAAACTCAATACAATTAAATAAACTTTAAAATAAATACATTCAAATAAACTGTTAATCATCGGCAGAATCGGCATCGAGAGAGATAAAGTTGGACTCGCGCATGCCTTCCACCATGTATGTGTCACCACGAGCGCTAAAGAGAGAAAGTGTGTGAGTATGTAGTCAGGCAGAAGGGAAATGAGGGCGGCTTTCGCACAGCGCCGTGCCAGTCGCTCTCCCTGCCAGGTAGGAGTGAAGCGGAGGCCCTGAAACACTGCCCTGTTTCAGCCTGTCTGAGAGTCAATGGAGACGAGCCGTGCCCTCCGGCACTTTCATTCTCTCTTCTTTCTCTCTCCCTCTCTCCCTCGCTCCTTCCCTCTCCAGCCTGGCCACAGGTCCGCATCCAGCATGTGAACAGAAAACGTAGCCTTTCTCTCCCAGGCTGCACTCCAACGAAAACTTTGGCGCGCTCGCGAGACACAAAACATAAGAGCGGCGCAGACAGCCAGCTCCCTGTGGAGGTGGGCTGAGTGGACAGACAGACACGCAGACAGGCAGACAGACAGAAAGGCAGACAGACAGCCTGGCCGGATGGGACATGGTCTTCAGTGATTAGCGGCTGAAAGTCTGCGGGTGCTGCTTCCTTTTGGCTGCACTGCTTCCCTCAACCACCACCGGCTCTCAAACAACCACCTGGCAGGTGGAGCGCTCGCGCAGACACAACACATAAGCGTGCTTACAAAAATGCACAATAAGGTGCACGCTTACAATTACCACATTGCATGCGCTGAAAGACACATGTTTCAGTGTTTTGTCCATATATGGGCTAAACTTAGACACCCCAAAGCATACTAACAGCCACCCAAGTACATTTTGTCCCCTTTTCAATAATATCCAATATCCATTTCATACTATTTACACAAATTCCAAAGAGAAAACATCTTATATTGTTATGAATAAACAATAGCACACTGTGTCATTTATGCGAAGCACTACTCTTGATTTCTAGAACCTTTAGCCAGGTCCCTGAAGTGATCCAGCATGGAAGGGTAACTTTTTTGGTGCTTTTACGTAAACAAATACTATGATCGGTTTGAAAATACCTACATTAAAAGGACCTCAGCACACAGCGCCCCTACCAGCTTTCCTTCAGACTCGTGAGAAACACTGTATTACATGTAAGTATCTGCTCACCAGCTTTTTTCAACATGAATGCTAGTCTCATGGGGGCTGATACAATCTCGAGACGAGAATACTTGTCTGGGGACAACTTGCTAAACTTTTGGTCCTGGATTGCGGTTAAATCTGCCAAGAACAAAGATACGCCCCACCAAAAATCCACCTCAAATTTCTCTGGTCCGTGCTCTTTTAATGTCCAGAGTAACACAAGCAAAACGCTATCGGCAGCTACCAAAACTGTCTTTCCCCTCACAAAAGGTCATGTTCATTTTAGTGCACATGTGAAACACATCTATAATGGCTAGGGCCCACTTGAGGTCCCAAAGTTTTATTACACACTTCTATAACCTAAAAATAGCTCAACCAGTCTGCATTGAAGTCCCTGTAGCTACTGAATAATAAGCCTTAGTATGTAATAAGCCAAGATTTTAAGGGGTTAATTGGAGTTTTGGGGGGAAACTTTCAGCCACTCTAGCATACATAACATCCATGGGCTACTGACAGGCTTGTTGTCCATTGGACAATGTTGATGAGCACACCATCGCCCCCTACTTTGAACTCCGGCTTCACAAAGTGTTGGATTACTATAAGAATTCCGGTTTGTTCCCACCACCCCTTAAAATTTCTCATAGCTGTTTCCAGACTTTTGTGTTACAAGATCAGGTCCAGCCTCACGAGACTACATGAACCTATGAATTGTTTTTGAAAGGTTTGAAAGCTAAGATAAGATAATCCCTTATTAGTCCCACAACAGGGAATTTCTCAAAAACACCTATAAGCTCTGAAAACACCTATAAGCCTCCTTTCCTTGAAGTGCAGACACAAGTGTTGGCAAGGTACACTTTGATGTACATCTGTCCCCAGTGTAAAGCTGCAAATACTAACTATCAACCTATCGACTATTATTTAATGAATCAACTGATCTATATTGATCAACCAATCTATACCTCAAAGTTGTCTGTGCAGCAAGTGATTTCTTCTTTTGTAGTGTGATGAAACAACAGAAGCCAAGAGAAGCTTCCTGTAACCTGCTGCAACCTATCAGAATGACCGTGTGAATCGTATGACCACCAGAGATTTTCTTAAGGAAATGACACATCAACAGTAAAAATCCATGTCGAGGTTTTTTTCAAATGACGATGTCATCAACCTTGTCGACTATTCACTGTAGCTCTCCCCCATTGAGGGAGCAAGTGCCAGTCAAACTGAGCCTTTCCATTTTTCCATGTGTGAGCTGAAGCTGAGCTGCAGCAAGACAGACTGAACAGGAGTCCCGGGACAGTGGCCCGAGCTGGGCTCTCTCTCCCTCCGCAGGCTCCAACCCCGGCCTGGACCGACCCGGCCTGGTCGGGCGCTTCTCCTCCGTGTTCGTACAAAGTCCTCAGAACTGTCAGCCAAAAATAATACAGGCGTCCCTCGCAGTGCTGCCAAGAGCCCGAGCCAACATGATTTAAAAATATGTTTAGGAGGATAGCTGGACCAGGCCTGCTGGAGATAATTAAAAACACAGACCCTTTTCGAATGTTTACACGGCAGGCCCGAGCGCACCGGCCCGAGAGGGAGAGGGAAGAGGAGGGAGAACTGAGTGGGAATGAAAAGAAGGGAGAGAGAGAGAGAGTGAGAGAGGACAGAGGGAGAAAAGGAGAGAGCGAGGGAAAGAAAGCAGACGCAGCAAATTTAAGTAAAAACGCTAACCCTCTTAAAAATCAGTCATCTTATCAAAGGGCTCTAAAGTTAGTGGCGTGGCGGAGATAAAGAGAGACTTCAAAGGCACATGTGGCCTGACTCTGATTC